ACTCTTCCCGGATCTTGCTGATGAGGAGGGTACCCATCCCAGACCCAGTCCCCCCACCCAGGGAGTGGTCAGTGGGAAACCCTGCAGGCAGTCGCAGCTCTCGGCTTCCTTTCTCACAACATCCAGCACCGAGTCCACCAGCTCTGCACCTTCTGTGTAGTACCCCTTGGCCCAGTTGTTCCCAGTGCCACTCTGACCGAGAACAAAGTTGTCAGGTCTAAATATCGGCCTGAAGGACCCCGAGCGCACAGAGTCCATGGTGCCGGCTCCAGGTCCACCAGTACGGCGCGGGGTACGCACTTGCCACCCGTGGCCTCATTGTAATACATGCTAATGTGCTCCAGTTATAGGTCGCTGTCTCCATGGTACATGCCCGTAGGATCAATGTCATGCTCGTCGCTGACCACCTCCCGGAACTTGGCACTGATCTGGTTGCCGCACTGCCCGGCCTGTAGATGAACCATCTCCCTCATGGTGCCGACTGCGGCGGCAGCAGAGCAGCTGAGAAGACTACGGGTGCGGAAGAGCAAGCACGCAGAATGCTGGAGTTGTTTAAACTAAAATGGAATACATTCACATGGTTCAAACTCAAACAAGGGAACCCGTGTCAAGGCTTCTTTCAGGCCCTGCCTCCAGCCACCCAGTTCAGCATCTCACAGGCAGATATGGCTACTGTTTGCCTGCCCTCCAGGAATATCTGACCTGGCCTCGAGAACACAGACACACACGCACGCACACAGTCTTGTCTGTGGTCCACGGCCTGCTGGTCACCGTGCACCTCCGACCTTTGCGTGTCAGAGCCTTCTAAAGTGCGCTCTGTTACTGCCTTTCCACGTGCGCCAACTCGGCCCTCGCTCCTGGCTGAGCACCTGGTACGAGCCCGGCAGGGGCCGGGAGGTAGAGTGAGCCGCACACCCCACGGGGTGGAGATGATCCTGTAAGCAGCGCAGGTGGGCAAAGGAAAAACTGCCACTTTCATAGTGTCTAGAAACTTACAACTGGGATTCCAGAAGAAACAGGACAGCGGCATGAACATGGGGAAACAAAAGAAAGCAAGACAGTCTGCGACCGTGGAGC